AGACCAGTCCAAAATATTTTTTCTGGTGAGTTGATCACGGTCCTTGACAGGTATCTGCATGCCAAACTCACTCCAATTCTCTTCCTTATCCAGGTTGGCTGCTGCTTCGAGCACCTCTGCCTGGGCCCTTGCAGCAGCTGCTTCCCTTTTGAGTTGTAGGGTGCTTAACTTAGCATCCAGCTCAATTTTCTTCCGTGTGGCAGTAGCTGCTAATGTACTCTCTTCTTCTTGTATGCGAGCCTTTTCAATTAGCATGTCTTCCTCTTCAGCCATGTAGGCAATACGGGCGTTTGCTGCTTCTGCTGCTGCGCGTGCCTGAGCTGCTGCCATACTAGTAGATGATGTCTTTGAGTGTGCTGAGGCTTTAGATCTTGTGGTGGACCTGGATGAGACAGAGTGCTGAGATCCTGTCTCTCTTAAGCCATCCACACGGTCCATTGCATCTTGTATCATTGCCTGCACATTATCATCAAGCAGTTCAAGGAAGTGCTCTTGTCTGCGCACTCCCTCAATGCCCTCATTTGTTTTCACCTTCATCAGGAGGGAAATGTATCTATTTGCCAGGAGCTTGTAGCTTGAGCTGCTCACATTCACTCGCTGGATGGCCCACTGAATTGAGGCCACTGTGTCTGAGGCATTTGAAGCTTCAGATAAATCTGCTTCAACCCGGTTCCATGCCCGTTGTATCCTGGCATCCAGGTCCTGTTTCTCAGCCTCATAGCTTTCCAAGGCCCGTTGCGTCAACCTGACCTCCCTCTGGGGCCTTGAATTCCCTTGGTCCTCTTGAGGCAGGATGGGAGATCCTGGATTGCTTGGTTCACCTTCTTCAGCATCTCTCCCTGCTGAACTGTGTCTTTCCATGCTGTGATGCTTGCAGCACGATTTTAATGTAGACTCGTTGCAGAGCTCCTTGCTTGCTGCAGGCTGACTGCTTGAGAGCTGGTTGCTTGCTGCAGGCTGACTGCTTGAGAGCTGGTTGCTTGCTGCAGGCTGACTGCTTGAGAGCTGGTTGCTTGCTGCAGGCTGACTGCTTGAGAGCTGGCTGCAGAGCTGGCTGCAGAGTTGACTTCAGAGCTTCTTGGGAGCTTTAAGAAGAGTATATTTTTACTATCTCGGCCTCGCTGTGCGCTGCGTTGCACCGCTAGTCGAGTAGATAACCATGTGTTCAATAAACCCTCGGAGCCAGGATGACCGTCCAACTCCGATCGTCATTTATTGATTGTAACAGGTAAAACTGGTGAGAAAACACAGATACAGCATCTGTTATAATTCGGAAACACCCACACAATGAACACCACAGCATCAGAACATTGTCTCAGATAACAATAGATCCTGGAAGGACCAGGCCCCCACATTACCCCTGAACAACTAGACAAAGGCACAAGCTGATGCGTTGCATACAGGCACAGTGTATTCATCCCACTGCACCCCAAATGTACAGCATTACACTTAACACTAAACTGTGGATGAGATACTTCGTCATCACTCTCAGGATCGCAACATAGGCACAAGTCTGACTCGACCTACTAAATCACAAGTAACATCCACAATAAGGAAAGTCACAGGCTTCGTTACTAACTAGGCCTCGTATTTACTACAACAACTTAACGGCACCATAAAGGCATTTACATTGCTATAACGGTCATTCCAACATTACAACAGCATTTCCAATATTAGAGGAATATAAACAACTTACAGATAATGCTTCTTGAGCTCCCACAATGGATAAGTGCGGCTGTGGTCTCACTGAGATGCGATGCGTGCCGCCATCTTGACTTATCTGAGTAATGGCTGAAGCCCGCGTGGTACAGTGGAAATCTAACATCGTCACTTCCTGGTCACGTGACCAACATTAGCATCAAAAAAACAGGAACTTCCTGTTAACGTACGCTCCCCATCTGCCGTGAGGCAAGACACAAATAGTGATCAGAGGTTGGACCCCGAGGTCCCCCATGTGCACAATTTATATTTGGGCTGATTTATAGAACGGTAAGCTGCGTTATACAAAAGTTCCAATAATCTATAACTTAAATTCATATTACTTGAATGTCAATCGACTAACAGAAACTCGGTAATGTTAATCGACCGTTGATTTGAGTTATCGGCGCTGATGAAAATATGCCTATAAAAACTTTGATATTGAAGTTGATTTGAATATGTTAAATACGCATCTAAAATATTAAGTGGCGCTCAATCCCATTATGGAGGAATTCAGCTGTGGTGTTGTGACATGGAGGGTATCTGATCGCTATTGCAGGTACGAGATGTTCACTTATTTTTTAAGTTGTATTCTATTTAACACGTAGGCTTTTGTGACCAATATCGATTATACAGTTTTTTGGTTGGGTGAGATCATGACACATTTATATTTACGCGATCTAACCCAAAAAAACCCTGTTTTATGGCTGCTTTCTATTGTTTGCTGTTTTTGCGCGGGAATTCTAATATTAAGATGGTACCAAACCTCGTGGTGAGTCATTTATTATTATGAGTGGTAATTATTTGTTTATTTCGATCAACCCAACTCGAATGATTAGATATGACAGAGTTGGAAGATGATTACGGTGTTTTGGTGATGAAAATTTCACTTGCTTTTGTAATAGTTTAAACAATTTGGTATGACGGTGTTGCATCGCGATCCTCATTGGGAATAAGAAATAATGTTTTGTTTACCGTCAGTAAAATATTTATCTAATTTACATATTGTTAATATAATTTTATATATATAAAAGATTTGGTATTATAAATTGTATACATACGTACTACATCGTCTCGTTTATGTAGTACTAACTTTATTACCCGGCTTCACTCGGGACTTGGATTCTTGTCTTGGATTGACACACGGCCTACGCAGAGGGTTGGGGGGGGGGTGCGTGACGTCAGCAGGCACACTGCGTGACGCTGCCGCTTGCGGGTGACATCACATATGTGACGTCACCGCTCACTTGCCGGGCAATATATATACATTATTGCGCCCCCCCCCCCCCCCCCCCCCAAAATACAAAAGTCTATTTTTGTACATTTTGCATTGTGCACAGTCTGGAAGCTACCCACATGCCATATTTCAAGTTTGTTGCATGTTGGGAAGTATGCTAAACATTTTGAACAGACACACATGTTCACAAATCTCCCTTTTTACATACTTGTCAACCCATACCGTTTACTCGTTTTCTTGTCCAGGGACATTGAGTTTTCAGGTCCATACGACGTACAGCCGTTTCAGTACGAGCAAAAAAAAAATGTCTATTTGTGTTTCTCCCTTGTGATGGGACTTTGTAGGATGAACGTTGAGATGTATAAGGGCACGGGGTGACTAGTAAGGGGTCTGAATTGGTTGGTAATAAGGTAGGCACTGATAAGGGGTTGACAGGAATGCTGTTATCATAATTGAGATTTCAGCTATCTTCTGGACCGAGTGAGGTGTTGTGACGTGGAGGGTGAGTCTCTGATCGCTATTGCAGATACACAATTTGCCCTTCCCGAAAAGGATTTTTGAAAACACGTTCCTTCGGAGTGGGCAGGTAGGAACTTGGTTGGACAGCGCATTCGTGCATGACAGACAGACAAATAATCCCTGGTGGGCAAGTGTGGAACCTGTTGTTCCTTCCTGTATGTATAAAAGATAACTTGACTTTAGGTAGCCAGGCAGACAGCCCCCTTCACTATCGCCCCCCCCCCCTCCCTTAAGCCCCTCCCCTGACCACCCCCCATATCCTTAGGCCCCTCCCCTGACCCCCTTCCCTTAGGCCCCTCCCCTGAGCACCCCCCATATCCTTAGGCCCCTCCCCTGAGTACCCCCCATATCCTTAGGCCCCTCCCCTGACCCCCCCTTAGGCCCCTCCCCTGACCCCCCCTCCCTCAGGCCCCTCCGCTGACCCCCCCCTCAGGCCTCTCTCCTGACTCCCCCCTTCCTTAGGCCCCTCCCCCTGACCCTCCTCCTGTAGGCACCTCCCCTCTCCGTACCCGGCAGTAGGTCTCCACCAATCAAAGAGCTGTTTATGTTATATATTTATTTATGCACGACAGACAGTCAGACAGACAGACAAAAAATCCCTGGTGGGCAGTGTGGAACATTGTTCCTACCTGTATAAAGTTTTGCCGTTTCACCCCGCCCCATCCCCCGGTGTTCAGCTGTTGTCCAGTCGCACCACTTCTCCGGAGGACACAACACAATGGAGAGTCTACTCATCGTATCAGAACTTTATTATTCTTGCCTATTTAACTGACCTGTCCCCCCCCCCCCCCCCCGATCCCTCAAGAGGATTCACGACGGGAGGAGAGGGGACAGGGCAGACCGGCTACAGCCGCTATACTCGGATATAGCATGAGCCGTGACAGGTACTGCAAGATCCGACCATGTCTGTCCGGTGCACGCCAAACGAACACACTATAAGTGCTCGCCACAAATGAACCACGATACCTCGCTGATCTCAAGGAGCATAAACCATTATGCCAACCGGTCATCCTCCCAACAGCGGCTTTTGGCTGGCCATTGAACAAAGACAGTCAACCCCATCGTGTGCTTTGAGATGCGCTTCTGCGGCCGTCTGGAACGCTCTTCCGATATTGGGAAGCCACTGAAGCAATTCACTTTAAATCTAAATTGAAAACGTATTTCTTTTGAGCTGCTTTTTGTGTTTAGTTTGTTGTCCTTACTCCAGACCTCTGATTAGCACGTTTTGGCTACGTACGTATCTTGCGAAATAATTTCAACGTACACGCTATGAACGCCTGATCTCTCTCCGATGGAAACTACAGCTTGTCCTCGACATACTAGGCTAGTTCCGTGTCATCGTGCCTCTGTATGCCTGTTTGCTTAGCAAAAAAAAAACCCAGTCAGTTGCATGAAGACTATTTCTGCACCGTGTGGAGGCGCCTTTTGCACTGCACACCGATCTACGTTTGGTCAGCGACTTTTCAACTTTCCCCCCAATGTTTAAACAAACCAAAAAATCCTATTACAAGTATAGGGAACTAATCGACGACGACTCGGACACGGCTTGAATGTTAAGGGCTTTCGCCAAATGTTTATTAAAGATATTCAAATAACACAACGGGGTGAACAACTCCCAGGGGTTAGGGTTCCTACTGAGTCCTGGTCCCTGCCCGGCTTGCACCGGTCTCTCTCTCTCTCTCTCGTGCCGGATCGGGGACTCTGCCAACTCCGCCGACCGGAGAGAGAAGCACCTCGAACGGCTACCACCGGCTTCTCCCCAGACTCACCACTCCATCCCTCTACCCCTGGCTCCCTCTTCACCCTTCTACCATTACCCGTTCCCACAGTGACCCCGCTTTCGTCAAGAGGTCTCCCTTAAATACTCTAGGAGACGTGACGTCATCGAGCCGCCCAGCACACACATGACGTCACGTTCCCATTTTATTCTACACAAGTATATGTGGCACGTGATATATCTACCAACGTTACATTATAGTTTTTCTTCCGATCCCATGACAAGTATATATTGCACGTGGTATACCCACCAAGGTTATATATAAAATCGGACGCCACGCTGCACTCCCAGGCATTGAGTGTAGGGGCCGTGTTCCTTGTGTGAGAGGACGTGAACCCAGTTGTCGCAGTCTTGCGGGAAGGTGCCGACTGTGAAGTCTCCAGCAGCTACAGCAGCAATAGCAGTAGCAGCAGCTACTGCTGTAACAATAGCAGCAGCTGCAGCAGCTGCAGCAGTAACAATAGCAGCAGCTACAGCAGTAGCAACAGCTACAGCAGCAGCTACAGCAGCAGCTGCAGCAGCTGCAGCAGCTACAGCAGCAGCAGCTACTGCAGCAGCAGCAACTACATCAGCAGCAGCTACTGCAGTAACAACAGCAGCAGCAGCTACAGCAGCAACATCAGCAGCAGCTACTGCAGTAACAACAGCAGCAGCAGCTACAGCAGCAGCTACAGCAGCAGCTACAGCAGCAGCTACTGCAGCAGCTACAGCAGTAACAATAGCAGCAGCAACAGCAGTAACAATAGCAGCAGCTACAGCAGCAGCAGGGGCTAAATGCGTCTGGTGGCGCACAGCTTGTAGCCTGGGGCGGTCAGCACGAATCCGGGGCACGGCGTGAGCTTGGGGAGTGGCCGCCCCGGCGGAGCGTGGAACGAGAAGTTCTGCAGCAGCGCGGAGAAGAAGACGAAGAGCTCCGTGCGCGCCAGGCTCTCCCCCATGCACACGCGGCGGCCTGGGCAACGGAGCAGCGCAAGAGGGGAAGTGAAAACAAGCCCTTGGATTGGTACTTAACGGGACTGAAAGGGGATTGAAGGGATTGGAGGTAGAAATACAACATGGAAAGAACGGGGAAACGGAGGATGATTGACAGGGATGTCGGTTTGGATCGGTTAGGGAAGGTGATTGGCTGGAGTTGAAAGTGGGTCAAGGAAACTTCGAGAAATGGGCTTCACATGCAAACATACGCTTTGATAATGTATGCATATTAACTCCGGTATAGTGCCAGGAAGGGTAGCATTTTTATCATAATTTTCACCTTTTTGTTTGTCCACATTAACTTTAAACGAAAACGAAACTTTTTATTTTACCAGGTGAGGCCGACTGAGCTATGTAGCTCTTTTTCAGAAGTGACCTGGCCACAAATGATAGCTCAACAAAGTGGCTTATCACGTGGAAAGTTATAGCAGCCAAATATTCTAAATGCTTGATGTTGATTCTAAATGTGGAGGGAAAAGCCGGAGGACCCAGAGAAAAATCCACGTGACCACGGGGAGAGAGAAATGCAAACTCCAAATATACAGGCGGTGGGGTCGGGGTCAAACCCACGACCTTCTGCACATGAGAAGAGGTAATTAACATCTCACCACCTTCGTCCAAGCCGGCATCTTCTATTCATTTCGTAAGTATTTGCAAATATTTTAATCGGGTTGCACAATAAGATCCTGCTGCTGCCCTACAAGGCACTCAGTGGGTTAGCCCCGCAGTATCTACAGGAACTGATCCGTGTTGACTCTTCAATAAAGTCTCTGCCATCTCCAGATCACCTTCTTCTAAGGACTCCGAGGTCAAGGCTCTGTTCCTGGGGTCATCGGCCTTTTGCCACTCTGCAGCTCCCACGCTTTGGGACACTATTTGTAGGGCGCATCCGTAGATTCCCAAAGCACCCCGTGTATGGAAAGCAGGAAATAAAGAAAACCTGCAGGGTTAATAGGACCGGAACTAGGCGGGTTAAAGGGCAATTTAAAGGGGTGATTTTTCAAGAAGAAAATTAAAATGGTCGAATGACTTCAATGGTCTTATTAGCAAAGGCAAAGCGTTCGGTAGTCTGGGAGCAGGACCGGAACAAGCCCGATCACCCCAGGACATTAGTCTTGGCCTCGGAGTACATTGAGCAGCGTTCTTCACTCATTTTCAGAGGGGGACCACTTTCGCCGATAGGACATCACCAGTGTGATGGCCGCCACACATTTGAAACCATTGGGGGTTTGACAGCAGCACGATGATGGGGGAGGGGGGGGTGTTTTCACAATTTGCGTATTGTCAGGGGCTGCACGTCAGGGGCCGCACTAAAGGCCACCAGGAGACACCAGTGGCCCGTGATGGCCTTGCAATGAAGAATACTGCAGTATAACTGTATATTGATGCGCGTTACATTGAACGAAGGCACACGTGTTTTCCATTAAGAAGTGACGATGCGAGTGATGGTTAGCACGTGATTTTTTCTTCCTGTAATGCTCGGTCAACATTCTGTTCTGAATGCTGTTTGCTCTCTGTTGGTCAGAGACAAGGTGTTTGGCTTAATGAGCACCAAAGGTCGCTTCGCCAAACACTCCCAAACCCATGCACATCGCCCTAGGTTTGGGAGTGATGAAGAACGATGACTTAGAAGGCAATCCAAAGATCTCAGTCACCCCGTTGGGAATCTTAAAGATGGATCGGTTTCTGCAAATACTGCCACAGTGCCAATACAACGGAGACAAAAACACATCAACATGTTCCCAGGAATCGAGATAATTAATTGACTGACATGGGGGGGTGGGGGGGTGTCGATCACTCGTGTAACACGCACGTGTGAGCTGCCGCGTGCGTGGCAGCGACTCTCCCACCTGCGGAGAAGGGCATGAAGGCGTCCCGCTTGCGGAATCTTCCGGCGGCGTCCAAGAAGTGCTCCGGGTGAAACTGGTCGGGCTTCTCCCACTGAGACTTGTCCCTGAGCACCGAGTGGAGGAGGGCGATCACAGGGGTGCCCTGCAGAGACAAAGACAAAGATCCGCCGCGTGGCCTTATGGGACTGTTTGGGGCAAAGTGCTGTCCGTGAGCAGCGCCTACGAAGGCCGGCGCGGCACGCGACAGTGGGTGGGGGTGGCCAACACCGACCGCGTCTGTCTCCCCAGTGGCGATGATTTTACGCACCACACAAGGCTACTCACTTTTGAGGTTGACTTCGCCCTAGGGGAGGCCCCAGAACCGGTTCAGATAATCGTCAGTGGGTGGTGTAGGGCCGTGCACGGGAATCGAACCGAGGCCCGCCGGGTCTTCACAGGGCGCAGCCCAAACCCCTGGGGGCCTCCGCCGCCTGTACCCCCCCCCCCCCCCGCCAAAAACATCGCCACGAACCTTGGGCAGGAAAAATCCGCGGAAGGTGACATCGTTGGCTGTGGCGTGCGGCACGGAGACGGGCGCGATGTCGGCGAAGCGCTGCACCTCGTGCACCACGGCGTGCGTGTAGGGGAGGGCATCGCGGTCGGCGAACGTTGGCAACCGCAGCGGGCCGACCACGCGGTCGATCTCCTCCTGCACGCGCTCTGCAACGCGCGCGTCGGGGGTGTTAGCGAAGCTTGACGGTCTGACCTGCTGCACATGCAGCATGGACGTCCTGATCTACTCGGAAACACAGCATGACAGCCTGATCTACTCCTGCGCTCGTTGTGTATGCACGCGCGGGCGCAGCATGACAGTCTGATCTCTTGCTAAACACCCTTTGACACATACAGCATGACAGTCTAATCTACTGCTGCACAGAGACAAATATCCCCCCCCCCCCGTATAGCCTTTAGCAGACTGTTGGGGCAAGTGCTGTTTGCGAGCACCTACGAAGGCCGGCACGGCACATGAGGGGGTGGGTGGCCAGCACTACTCCTGCACACGCTCTTACACACAGCATTACAGGTTGATCTACTCGTGCACACGCTTTTACACACAGCATTACAGGTTAATCTACTCGTGCACAAGCTCTTACACACATCATTACAGGGTGATCTACTCGTGCACACGCTCTTACACAGCATTACAGGGTGATCTGCTCCTCCACGCACTGTTGTGCATGCACGAGAACATGTCACCCCGGGCCCGGGGTCATCGAGATCTCTGCTCGAGCCTCGGGGGTTGTGCGTTGCTCCCTGGCAGTGTTCAAGAAGGTTGCCGATCACGCTGGCCGGGTCGTCTTCAGGGTATTTGTTTATCCAGGTGAGCCACTCTAAATAGACCAGAATGGTCTCATTTGCAAGGGTGAGCTTGGCTAGTCATCAGTCAAAGTGTTCATGTGCCACGAGAGAGCCAGCCACTGCTGAGAGACTCAGTTGGAATCCCAAAAATTACATCCGGGATTGAGTAGCAGCAAGCAAGTGTACTAATGTAATAAAGGTCGTGGAAGCGACTTCTGGAATCCGGTCTTTATTTGTCTTTTGTTCACAACACTTCTGTCTTACTCCTTCACGCTGCTGACAGACAGCGTGAGAGGGAGAGAGAGAGCGAGAGACACGCGCGGCCACGTGGCAGCCTGGACCCCGCTCCAGCGTGGCCTCACCCTCCGTTCGTTCCAGATCTGACCACGTGTTGTCCGTCTCCACCCCTTTAAATACCCGGGTCACGTGGTACCTTTCCACCAATCCTGGTTAACCTCCATGGAATCTTCTAGACTCCATCGTACGATTCCGGGACCACGCCCCTGACTCGTCCCCCCATTGGCTGTGGCTAAAGCCAGCAGATCCAATCCTCTACTTACAGAAGTCACCTTCCCATTACATCAGGCCCACGCCCCTAGACTTCCCCCCATTGGCTATGGGCCAGGACCGGTAGAGTCAATCATCGTAACGAGGTGTGATCCATCAACCACCCGGATATATCCTCACATTACACTAATAATAATTTTAATGTATTTGTAAGACGCCTTCCACTAATGTCTCAAGGTGCCTTCTAAGAATATGGAGAAGGAAATAACAAGAGAGACGGAGAAGCTAAATAAACTGACTTAAGAAGATGTGTTTTAAGACGAGACTTCAAGGTATCCACATTATCAGGCTCTCTTAGAGTGTAGAGTATTTCTTGTATGTCTAGGGTTTGTCCAGGTGCTCTGGTTTTGTCCCAGATGCGAATGTTGCTTTCATAGGGAAGTGTTCAAAGCTCCTTCGAAAAAAATAATTAAGACTATCAATGGGTAAAAGTTATGGTGGGGGATGAGTAGATAGGTGAGCATGTAGGTTCGTAGGTGTAAAGTTAGTTGGGCGAGTGGGTAAATTGGTAGATTCGCAGGTGAAAAGAAGAGATAGTAGGTTAGTAACTAGGAGAAAAGGCTTAGTGGGTACTTAGTTGGGTGGGTAAGAATGCAAGGTGAATAGTTGAGCAAGTAGGTTTGTTAGGGATGTAGTTTGACTATATAGTTTGCGTCATTTGATATCGACACTCTACACAGCTGTTTTCCAGGATATGTGACAAAAGTACAACACTTTCATGTGAGACTTGTATCCATATTTGATTAAATTCAAAGGCGAAACATGGACATTCAGCCAAAAACTCAAACATGGCAATTCAAACCTTCGTCCTAACCCAAACTGTAAAGCTACCAAACGTTCTGGTGTGGCTGGGATGGTCACAGCTTCAGAAAAGGCTGTCCCGGATCAACATTTTCCAGCTTCACCCTCGGGACTCGTGATTTCAGGCAGAGGTATGGAGCTACCTGAGTATGGAGGCTCCTCTACTTATAAACTTTGAGAAAACGACTTACAAACTTTCAGAGGGACGAACAAACCTGTCCCCATGTCCAGTTGCCCGTTCGGACCGAGAGTCGTAAAGTTCAACTGCCATGCAATAGATGGCGGTGGTGGCATCTACATCTGCAGAACGTGAAGAACCAGTGGCATCTACATCTTATCGGAGATCATACAACTTTTAAAGCCATTGCCGTGTTTAGTGTACACGCCGTACTACACGTTTGGAATCAACAGGAGTAAAGTTGGACTTAAGAACAAATCGACTTACGCAGAGACCCCCTGGAGCCTAACTCGTTCGTCAGTAGAGAAGTCCCTGTAGTGGGTGGGGTTAGCAGAGAAGTGGGGCCTATGAGCAATGGGTGAAGCCGTCAGAGAGAGAGAGAGAGATTGGTCAATCACTGTGTGGGGCGGGGCTAGTGGTTGAGTGGGTGTGGTCACGTGTAAGTGGGTGGGGGGACTGAAAAGGGGAGGGGCCTGCCAGCTCACGACCACCCCGTCCCAGTTGAGCCTCGCGGACATCACGATCGCTAAGCCGAGCTTGCCGCTGATGATGGATGGTGATGGTGGTGGCACTCACTCTGCATGTCCGGGAAGGTAATCATGTAGAGGAGGCCCCAGCGCAGGCTGTTGGCGGTCGTCTCCGTCCCGGCCTGGAAGAGGCTGGTGGTGCAGGCGAGGAATGCCTCGTTGTCAAACGTCGTGCTGCTCTTGCCTGCCTCCTATCGTCGACAAACCACGCGTGGCCATCGGTGATTATCGTGCATTTCGCAAGGCTAGTTGTAAAAGCAGTAACAATAACATTATTGTCGTGGACAACAACAGAGGGCGGTACAGAACAAAAAAAATATGTTGTGCAGTATGGTGCAAAAAAAGTTAAATATACATGTACATAGTGTAACAGCGTGGCACAGGGATTTGGACCCTAAGCCTCACGTGCACATTGCATCACGGCCAAGACAGCAGTTATATATACAATATAGAGTGAGTACTCGGGTTGCGGGAGACCCGACTTACAGAAATGCTCCCATAAATCACGTAAAAAAAATTACATGCGGAAATTGTTTAGTTCGTTACATGGGCGCAAATAGTGCAGCGCAGTGAGGGTGCGGATGAATGCCGCGGGCTGCCGTCGTACGCCTCGCTCCACAAAAATACCACCTTCACAAAGCCCGAGCTTCACTAGGATTTAGGTATATGGCATTTTTCGGAGCGTTACGTAATTCGTTTCTTTTGTAGCATTATGTAATTGTTTTCTACGCTTAGAACTATCTTTGTTTTCCCATTTTTCTATTGATAGTTTTCTTCATTTTCAGTTTATTTCATGAGTTATTTACTGTATGTACTTGATTTAACACAATTACACTTCGATGGCTAATGGTCTCAACCAACAGCGATCGGAGAAGTCTCGGCTAGCCTAATGCATGGTAATCGAACATTTAGAAGTGACTGCTTTCTGTTAACAATTAATATAAAAATGTTTCGTGGTATTCATAAACAATTGGATAAAGTGAATGTTCAATTAGTTTGATAATGGGTAGTGTTAGGATAGATATTCGATTAAATGAAAGAATTGTAGGAAGTGCAGAGCATATGTACAGCGATACGGTACAGGCGATAGAAAATGTACGAACCTAGTAATCGGGTAGGGGGGGGAAATTGTTGAGTTTCCTACATACGGAAAATTCGGATTACGGATTGTTCTCGGGAACCTAACCCTTCCGTAACTCGAGGACTGCCTGTCCACAGCAGGCATCAAGGATCGAACCCACGTCTTCCTACATTCCAGGCAAGGGAGATAACATCTCGCCACCTTTTCTTAGTTGAAGTTTGTTCATTGAACTGCAGTTCATCACGGTGGTATTTTTTGCGTTCCTGAAGAACACCACGTTATGGAAAAAATGCGTTATTATAAATAATATAGGATAAAAAGCACAGTCCACGATAACACGTGAGATGCGTACGCAGGCTGAACAAAGACTGAGGCGTGTGGGTAGCATCTAGAATCATCAAGCACCATCCCAATGCCCTGTGTGATGATGCTACGCCAAGGCAGCATGTACAAACACTTATTCCTACTCGTGCGACGTCGTTCTGTTCACTCGATCACGTTATATCCAATTCACATCCGCGTTATTATAAAAAATGTGTTCTCTAACAATTAAGTTATACTCCGAAGCTAAGCAGAGTCGTGCCTGGATAGTGCTTGAATACGTGACCGCCATGCATCATACCGGTGTTGTAGGCTACTGCATGGCTATGTTTTCAGTCCGGGGCAGCGCAGTCCTCTCTCCCATTATCTCACCAGCACAGCTTCACCAGGAAGCGGCAACACTCCGGCAATACAGCCGCTATCAAGACGAAGGGCCTGACCACCCAAACAGACCTCGCCAACCTCCTAATAATGCGCCCCAAATGGAGAACGCCACAGAAAGACTCGGCCGTACGCCGAGCATCATCGAGGGCTGACGGAGGAACAAGTGGCAGAACGCAAACATCATCAGGAAGCTGAATGCTCCGCAAACATCGGGTTTATCTTACATCGTATCTGAACTCGCCACGGCAGCTGCAATCACCTCCTCCACAAACAGATATCTTGAATGAAACTTTTTATTTTATTTTACCAGGTGAGGCTATAGATCTTTTTTTCGGAAGTGACCTGGCCACAAATGATCGCTCAACGAAGTGGCTCATCGTGTGGAAATTTATAGCAGCCAAATACTCGAAACGCCTATTCTTTGGTTCTTTCGGTAAAGTCACGTAGATAGAAAATAAAAAGAAAACTCACGACGTTTCGATCGCAACACAAGCGGTCGTCATCAGGTGGAGAGAAAAGGGGAGGCAAGCCTCCAACTGCAACTGTTTATAAAGGCTTGAAATGGGCGCAGACGAGCCAAAGCTGTGAGTGGGCGGGGCAGCCAATGATAATGCAGGAGAAGACAAAGGGGGACAGAGACGGGGCAGAGCTAGGGGGAGAGAGAGGGGGAGAGAAGGGGGACAGAGATAGGGGGAGAGAGGGGTAGAGATGGGGGGCATTGCACCTCGCTCCACACATCCACACTGCTGATGGTAGAGGTTGACAAGAAATTACAAATCAAGTCATGACCCAAAGTGGTTGATGACATCTTTCTAATGATTGCTGAGTTTATAACCGTCTTGTCGGTTTAAATTGGTGTCTGTGTCTATATATGTGGATGGCTTCATGAACAAATCTTTGTTGATAGCCAGTAGGCTTGCAAAGTACCATCGTTTTAGAGAAATCAATTTCGTGTGAGCCAGCCGCATTAGAATAATGATCAGCTGCGGCAGAAGTATTGGTCCTACCGTGTTTCAAATCTGCTTTATGCTCACGAACATGGTCGGAGACATGTCGCTTAGTTTCCCCAATGTAACTGCTGCCGCAGATACAGCTTAGTTTGTATACACCGGAATATTGCATGTCAGGCATCTTGTCCTTCACAGATGAGATAAAATCACGAAAGTTATGTACTGTGTTAAATTGGACCTGGATATTGTGTTTGTTCATGATTTTGGAAATATTTTTGGTTACCCCTGCTATGTATGGCAAGGTGATATGAAGAATATAAGAATATGAATTCCTGTCTGTTTTTAAATGTGGAGGGAAACCCAGAGGACCTGAAGAAAAATACATGTAACCATGGGAAGAGCATGCAAACTCCAAATATACAAGTGTAAGGATCAGGATAAAACTCACGACCTCCTGTATGCTAAAAACTAAACAATGTATTTTATTTTAACCAGGTAAGGCCCACTGAGCTATGTAGCTCTTTTTCAAATTCGACCTGGCCACAAATGATAGCTCAACAAAGTGGCTTATCGCATGGAAATGTATAGTAGCCAAATACTCATAAACGCATGATGTCGATTCTAAATGTGGAGGGAAAACCCGGAGGACCCGGATAAAAATCCACGTGACCACAGGGAGAGAGACACGTAAACTCCAAATATACAGCAAGTGTCAGGGTCGGGATCGATCCCACGACATCGTATATACCAGGCGAGGTAGTTAACATCTCCTAGCCACCGTGCAAAGTGGTTACACACAGGTGTCAGGGTCGGGATCTAACCCACGCATGAAGCAACTTTGACATCCGTGCCGCGTATGCGATGGTCGTTCCCTCCTGCAGGTGGCTTTACCCAGACAGGAGCAGCCCCATCTGCCTCTTCCCTCTTTGGCTATCTATGCGCATGCATCGTTGTCCGTTTACAGGCTCGTGCAATAAGCACATAAATTGCATTTTTAATGTTTCCTCACTTATTCGTACCGGTGAACGATACTTTGTAGTAATTTGTCCGAGCCAACTTTCGTTACGGGACATTTATTTAACTTGACATTAATTTATGTCAGTGCAGTATTTTCGATGTCATTTGTAACTCGGTTTGATTTTTTTCTCTGATTTGTATTTTATTGTTTTGGCAATTTTTTGTTCTATTTGTTTCGCTATTGTACTTCTCTCTTGTCGTTTTGGTGACTCAGGTCATGCTTTCTAAATTACACTTTATCCTGCTCTCTTTTGAGATCCCACCTGGTTACCCAAAATAAAATAGCAGCCATTTGCCCCAGAGTTTTTCCCCTTCCTGTCATGGACCATCTGCCGCACGTTCACTCCACAGTATCAAGGCCGGTCCCCAAGCCCAGCTGCGTCCGATAGGCAGCTGGCAATTAAACTACCTCCCAAATTGTGATTTATTGGCCGGCCATTGAACAAAGATGTTATTCACGAACTTGGTATCCGCGATTTTGGCTATCTGCGAATCGCATCTGGAACTTTACACGACTGCAAATAAATAAATTGATGAGATAAATGACGAGGGACAATGTGATGCGAGAAAGTGATAATATAAAGTGAAGAGAGAGAAAGTGATGAGAAAAAGTGATTTTTAAATTGACGAAAGTAACGTGATAAAAAAGATGAGAGATACAATTTTCACGCACTTAATAGGCCTACGTATTTATTTAAACTAATTCATTAAAACATTTTACATCCGCCAAATATGCCGTTCATGGGAACGTATATCCCTCGGCGCGAATAGCGAGGGAAACGCCGTATACCTTCTCGGCCTGCTTGTCGATGAAGGCGTCGATGTAGTCCCGCGGCTCGTTGGGCGTGCGCTCGTCCCGGTGCTCATCTATGTAGACCTGCAGGAAGTCGAACAACCGCTGCTTGTCCTTGAACAGTTGCTTGTGCGGCCCCGGGAAGTGCTTCAGCAGGGGGAACGCGTTGTACACCTGGAACGAGGAGAGGAGGAGCGCCGCCGACCGAGAATGAAGGCTCCGTAGGTAGGAATAAGGCGACCCCAAAACCACGTCCCCCCCCCTCCCCCGGTCTTGGATGGGACTGGTCATCACCGTTTCAGAAAGGCTGTCCCAAGTGGCGTAGTAACGACATTGTCAGTTCGGGGAGGGAGGAGGTCTGGCAATCGGTCAGGTGGGGAACCCCCAATATTTGATTTGTCTCGCACGGTCGCACCTAGAGGCTATTACACAGCGCGGCTCCTCTCGCCTAATCACAACTTCGTTACGTTCACGGTCTCCGACATTTAACGCTGCAGGGCCGCTCCGTTCTTGCAAAATGCAGCCACTACAGCTCCGTAGTAATACCTCTTTGCGTATCTAGTGAAATACATATCTCAGAAACGGAGTTCTATTCTACGTCCAAAGTTATTTTATTCAAGTTACTGTCATTCAAAGCAAATTCTGTTACGTTACGTTTCTTTACGGTAAAAAAAACTATGACTTACAATACTAAACTATTGAAAACATATCTCGTGGTGGTTATCAAAGGGGCCCCAACTCGTAGCTTTTGGCACGGGGGGGGTTGGTCAAGGCACCCCCTGCCACATGACCACGGGGAGAGAGAGAAAACATGCAAACTCCAAATATACAGCATGCGTCAGGGTCGGGATCGAACCCACAACCTCCTGCATACCAGGCGAGGTAGTTAACATCTCGCCGCCACCTCCACCTACCCTGTACATCGCCTCGATTCACGTCGTTTCGATATGTGCCGTCGCACCATTTCAGGAGCGGCATCCCAGACGTAAACCCGGGGGCGCTTACCTGCACGTGGAAAATAAATCCTTTCAGCCACGGCAAAATGTATTTTAGGCCCCCGTAAAGAACATTTCCGCGGGCGGGCTGGACACACAGCAAGCTCACCTGCGCCCAAGCATTGCCCATCGTCTGCACATTGCTGTTGAGCAACTCGAGCAGGTGGATGATCTGCGCGTCGCTGTAGTCGAACCGCTTGCCCAGCGTGATGGAGCAGATCACGTTCCCCGTCGCCAAGTTGATGTGGGTCATCGTCTCGAATGGCCTCCCTTGTGCATGAAACCAACATCAAGAGGGGGTTTCAAAGTGTGTCGTTTAGTTCCCTGGCTAACCCGTGACCTGGCGCGCTAGTCTGCCAGTATTGTCGCAACATTTTTTCTAATTTAGCCAATTTGGATCCTGACGCTGGCAACAATGGCCTCTCCTCTTGCAAATGGCGTCGTTGCGTATTTATATTCGCTGCGAGTGAAACGGACCGCACCTGGTATTGTGACGGTTTTAATACCCATAGTTAAAATTAGGGTAACCGGCTTCTGCTGGGCCAACCTTTAAGACAGCAGTTCTCAACTGGAGGTACGTGGACCCCTGGGGGTAACGTGGCAATGTCCCAGGGGGTATGCGAGGTGGTTCACAAATGCGTGAAATTATATCGTACGTGAGAGTCATTGGTATATAGTCACGTATGAATCTGCAAGTATGAAATAACTACGATGAAATGAAGATCCTTGTGGTAACCTAGAACGACGTGAAAGACCTTTCGAAACTCGTTGATCATAAACAACGTTGGTTTGAAAGAGTAACCAGCGAGCACGAACAAATTACTTCACGCAAGCAGAGCATCCGTTTAAAAAAACATTATTCGCTTGCAGTTACTAGCTAATTAGGATACCTCACAAACTGGGCATTTGGTTAAAATGTCAATGTTCATTATTTATACATTTATTTCACAGAACCATGTTAGGTCAGAGAAGGGGGAGGGTGGGGTACTCGGTTGAAAGAAAATTCAACAAGGGGGTCACAGTAGCCAAAAAAGATTGAGAATCACTGCTTTAAGATATTCAGGGGCTCCTTTTTTATTTTGTGCCGTGGCTGTTTACCACCTTACGATATTCATGTTAAGGCACCACGGTGGCGAGATGCTAACTACCTCGCCTGGTATACAGTAGGTTGTGGGTGCGATCCAGACCCTGACTCATGCATATTTGGAGTCTGTGTGTCTCTCTCCCCGTTTTTCCCTCCACATTTAGAATCAACGTGCGCTTAAGAGTATTTGGCTGCTGTAAAGTTCCACACGATCGGCCACTTCGTTGAGCTATCATTTGTGGCCAGGTCGCGTCTCAAAAATAAGCTACGTAGCTCAGTGGGGGGGGGGGGGGGGGGGGGCCTTTATCTTTGCAATATAAAAAAAGACAATGGTCAAGGGGTCGGCCAATCGCGTCAGACTGTCACGCGCTCTGTGCTCCCTCTCACCAAGTCTGCCTTCGAAAGGCTCTATCTTAGAGGGGCAACGTGTTGTTAATAAAATACTTTGAGAAAAAAAAAGAGGCCGCGTGTAAATGTTCGGCTCGTTGAATGGGTTTCACGGGGGGGGAGGGGGGTGCTAAGTCTCTGGTCAGCCCCATCCCCCCACACCAGCCGCCGAATGTTTTTTTTCCCTCTAGAGTTCCCCCGGCCCCGGCACAACCGTCCATGTCCTTGAAGCGGTGCAGGAGGGCTTCGGCCTCCTCTGCGACCACTGCCTCCACGCTTCTCTTGCCCATGCCCAGCGTCCGGAGCACGGACAGCGAAAAGCGTCTCCGAATGCGCGCGTGCTCGCTCTGCGCAAACACCAGCCCTGCGGTGGGAGGAAGCAGAGAGACAAACACAGTCAAGGCCGGTGGTTCTTAACCTGGGTTGCACACTGCACCCCCTGGGGACGCGAGATGCCCGTTCTGGGGGTGCGAGACGTGGGCAGATTTTTTTTTAGAAGGTAAACCGTCGAAACACAAATTAAACACGGGCACATAAGTTACAACTTACTTTGTTTCATCAAACCCTATGGACAGGGTGCTTCAAAAATGTTTTAACACTTATATGAGACTATCATTATTGGAAAAAGAGCAGATAATACTACACTGTAACATGATAACAAATGTCATGTTAATAGCTTCAAAAAGTCAAAGTCTCCACTTGTTCGCCATCGTTGTCAACGAATGCCTGGAATCTTCTCCAGGTGGTCTCCAGAGCCCGGAAGAACATTTCTTGCGCTATTGTTGCAAATTCTCAGAAGTGTTAACATTTTATTGAAGCACCTTGTATTTATTAACATAATTGCTTTACGATTGAGAACCAAAGGGGTGCAGGCTGCAGTAAAGGTTAAGAACCACACTGCTCTAAAGGAACGGGGGCTCGACGAAGCCGACCGCGAGGAGAACAAGCGGTCGATTGAAACATTTCTAGTCGGATTTTCACTCTTCAACGTTCAAATCGTGCACCAGCTCTATAAAGAACGGTGGCGTCGATGTGACTCAGCCCTCTGGTATCTAGGTGACTTTACCGAAAGACCCAAAGAGCATGTAACTATTATATAAAACAAAATTGAGTACTGAGACATCTCCTTTACCAGTGGCAAAATATAGTAATAGGTTTTTACCCTTTCAACTGGTACAAATCATTATCATTATCAGAGTTGTTTCTTTTTGTTTGCATTTTTACTGCTTGTGTTGTGGTTATTGCAAACATGATGCCTTGTATAAAGGTGTCAGTTTTTTGTACCAGTTGAAAGGGTAAACCCCTATTGCTAGGATATTGCGAACGCAAGGGCACCATCGACTCAAAGGGGTGTTTTTTGGGGATAACGACTCGGTGGGTGAAACTTCGATTGAAAGAATTAAATGGGTCGCTTTTTTGCAGGACAAAGCACTTTGCAACGCGAGAATATCTCACGGGTGTTTGCTTGTGACGACGCAACGCGATCGCCGAAGATCCGATTACTAGTTTTGCGTCTTCGTTCAACTTTGGCAGCGGTTTTTAGTTGCAGGCCCTTCACTGCCGCCGAGATTGTAATGCGATGTTGACGTTCCGAGTATTTTATTTGGCCGTGAGAATGAGGGACAGATCTCTTACAATCATGTTACCAACAACAACAATGCTACCAACAACAACAATGCTACCAGCAACAAAGATGCTACCTATAACAAAGATGCTACCAACAACAATGTAATCAACAACAATCATGTTACCAGCAACAATGCTACCAACACCAATGATGCTACCTACAACAATAATGTTCCCAACAACAAGCATGTTACCAACAACAATGCTACCTACACCAATTGTAGTGTGTCAACTGAAGCACACACACTGTTGTAGGAGGCAACGTATTTATTACATATTTACTGTACACCAGTTCTGTTTCTAAGTGTTGCTAACTTCCCCCAGGCTGCTGCTCACTATGTGCGTGCGTGTTGGTCGTAGGTTCCCCGAGCCAAGCCCCGAATGCCCCCCTCGCTCCCCCTTTATCCCTTGGCCCTCCCCTAGCCCCCTGCCGCATGGCTGTATCGTCGTGTCCCTTCTTCCGGCCACGGGTCCCTCTCTCCTCCAATTGAGACCCACTTCCAGTCACGTGCCCCCAGCTCGTACAATTGAGGACCGCTTCCGGTCCAGTGACTTTTGTGTAACCCACAGAGACATCCGACTGTGTCTCTACACAATGATGCTACCTACAACAATAATGTTACCGACAACAATAATCCTAGCTACAACTTTAATGCTACCTACAACAATAATGCTATCAACAACAATCATGTTACCAACAAGAATGATGTTAACAACAATGATACCTACAACAAAGCCTTTTCCCACAATTATTTCTCAAGTTCGGTGATAATTTAAGTATTTTCACTGTACCGTAAATAAAACAAATCACGACGTTTCTATCGCAACACAAGCGGTCATCATCAGGCAAAGAAGTCAGCCTCTAAAGGCAAACTGTTTATAAAGGTTTGGGGAAGGGCGTAGCCCAAGTGTATCAACAGCACCAGGAGCATGGGTGGTGCACGAGTGCCAATGCAGCAACAATGCCAATGCAGCAACAATGCTATAATGCAGCAACAATGCCAATGCAGCAACAATGCAGCAACAATGCCAATGCTGCAACAATGCCAAAGCAGCAACAATGTCAATGCAGTGGGCGAGAGAGCTGCCATGGCAAGAGGTTATATAGGTAAGAGAGGGGGGGAGGAGCAAAGGGGGGGAGAGAGAGAGAGGGGGTGGGGCAGGGGGATGGGGGGGTGGGGCTGCGTGAGCGCTCGGGGGAGAGAGGACATGAAGCTGGGGGGGAAGTGGGCGGAGCTGGAAGTGGGAGGCTGGGAACGATGGGGATGCGGGGCGGGGGGAAATTAACTCGGAAAAATAGACTAGTACCCGGCAGATATGATGGAACAACCATAAATAGTTGAGGTTTTACCTGGTTAATAACATCCTTCCAATTATTGCTTAATTTGTATCCATCTTCTCGGTTGAAGTTATGGTTATGTATCTGGATGGCTTTATGAACAAACCTTTGATAGTAGCCAGAAGGTTTGCAGAATATCTTGGTTTCGGAAAAAAATACGGCCACCAACACCAGAGACGATTATTTGAGCCGGTCCTGGCCCTTCCCTAGGTCGACTCAGCCTCAAATTAGTAACCTGGTGTGGCCTGTGAACGTCACCACTAGGGAGACATAGGCAGCCGGGTGTGGTGTAGGCCACCCACCCCCTCGTGTGCTGTGCCGGCCTTCATAGGTGCTGCTCGCTAACAGCACTTGCCCCGACAGTCCGTTACAGGCTACACGGGGGATCTTTGTCTTTGGTGGTGGTGCACTCTACACTTCCTAACCTTTGCTCGTGGACAAGTCCCTGAATATGGGCACGATGGGCCGGTCCGAGAAGTCGTCTGCTTGCAACACGAGAGCCTCCCGCACGGCTTCGTATCCCGCCAGGACGACGCTGCGGCGTGGGCCGAGGCTCACGCTGTACACCGGCCCGTACGTCTCAGCCAGCTGTGCCGCGCACGCCATCAGACATCGGAATAGCAGCGATTTAAGCCGCACCACCTCTACATAATAATAGGCTCAGTCAACCATTCTACACAACAAAGACTCATTTCCTGGCAGTGATTTCAGCCGCATCATCTCTACATAATAAAAAGGCTCAGTCCCTTTTACACACACCTTCACATCATCCGCACCTAGTTTACACAACAAAGGCTCATTCCTAACAGCGTGCTTCAGCCGCACCGAACCTCACAAAAATAATATTCAGGGCCTACCTTGGCTCCTCCCACCCTCAACCAGTATATATACAAATACTGTTTTCTTTGTATTTCTCTCACTTGATACAGCTATCGTGCTGTGACGGTTCCACCTGAAGACGGAAGCTTGTGTTGCCTCCGAAACGTCGTGATTTTTTATTTTATTTTACTTTTATTAATTTAACATTTTTACCTACGTGACTTTACTGAAAAAACCTAAGAATATGAATCCTTGCAGTCACGAAAGCTTCAAATCTAGAATCGGAATAAGTGTCAAGTGTAACCGGTTGATCGTCGATCGTCCGGCCTTCTAGCATTAATGCCACGGCGGCAAGATGTTAGCTACCTCGCCTGATGTACAGGAGGTCGTGGGTTCGATCCCGACCCCGACGCCTGCTGTATATTTGGAGGTTGCGTGTCTCTCTCTCTCTCACCGCGGTCATGTGGAATTTTTATCCGGGTCCTCCGGTTTTCCCCTCCACATTTGGAATCAACATCACCTGTTTAGAGTTTTTGGCTGCTATAAATTTTTGCACAATAAGCCACTTCGTTGAGTTATCATTTGTGATTAGTTCGCGTCTGAAAAAGAGCTACACAGTTAAGTGGGGCCTTACCTGATAAAATAAAATTAGTTGAATAAGTTTTCTTAGGTCGAACAACTGTGAGACAAGGCCATACAGGAGGTTATGCCTGATGTAGGCCAATCAATTTCAAGGACAATACACACATCAGATCATATTTGTTTGCATGGATTTACCACAAGCATGTATTTTTTGTCGAATTTCTTATCATTCCTATTTTGTTCTAATTTGTACCAGGTTTCTCTGTCATATGTTAACGATTAAGAACTTTTTCAAATAAATCGATCTCAGTGGATTCTTCTACATCTTCTAAGAATTTCACGTTTCAAAAGACTTCCTGGGAAGTGAATGATTGGTGAGCTTTCCGTGAATGCTTTATGTGGTTATTAAGTCGTTGTTTTAACAAAACCCTTCAAAAACTAAAATATATATTGACTTAAAGCTTTCGTGACTGCAGGAATTCATGTAAAATATATATGCATACACTCATTTGTTTAGACGTGTCTCACCTAACGAGCGAGATACATTCGCAAAAAATGCTTGTTAAGCGAACACTTGTTAAGCGTTTATCGTTTCCCATTGGCTCCCATGTTAAAAGAGAAGTTACGTTTCAACCCCAATATTTTACACTCTTGAGCAACTTTTTTTTAAACATGAGAAATACAAATCATGTTCAAATAAAGTAATAAATCACCACACATGAAGAACCACAGTGATTGCAGGTGCCTGTCCTCAGCATCTGCAATGAATTAGTGCCCCCCCCACCCACCGCTCCCCCACCCACCCACCCATTACAGAAACACCACGAGGCCCCTTCTCCATAAAATGGCGAATCACGCACACAGCACAGCTGGTTAACAAACAGCTGCGGGCTGCAGTGGGCCCCCTTCTCCCACGGAACGCATTCGATTGACCGGTCCTCCGCTCGTTACACGAGCATTTGCTCGTTTTGCGAACAAATTGGTCTATATCGCAAATGCTCGTTGCAGCGGATTCTCGCCGAAAGAACACTCTTTAAGCGAGACGCAGGCCTGTATAACTACAATTATCAAAGTTGTGGACACATTGCACTCTGGGTAACCGTATCACAGTGCTCACCTTTGAGAGGGTCTCGTACGGGGCATGCAGGTTGACCTGCATCAGATTTCCCAACAGGGGCCATGGCCGGGGACCTGGGGGGAATCTTTTGGAGCCGCCTCCCAGCAGACGTTGGGCGGACCAGACCAGGAAGATCAGCAGCAGCAAGCACGAAGGAACCCAGAACGTGGAGCCGCCCAGAGCGTCACTCGGAGACGCATCCACAGACATGGCGACCCTGCGCGATAGGGGGCGAGCATCAAGCGGTCAGGGAGACGCGATGCGTCACCGTTTTAGTTCCTCGGAAGTAGCAACCCTACCTCCCAAATGTTGTTGAGCACAGGGGGGGGGGGGGGAAACGTTGGCAAATACCGGAATCCCTTCACAAATCACACGGATCACGATGGTCATCTTTGGCACGACTTCACTGCCTCCCTGGTGCTGAATGAACTGCCACACCCTTCGTCGGCCAATCGCTGCCACCTCCTTTTTCCTTCGCTCCCCGGGTGGAAGAGCGGGCGCCCTTCAATCGGCCCATCTGCCGAGGGGTCGCCCCTCGAAGCTCGCTGCGAGCACCAGAGGGCTAAGATGACCCATGGCAGCCACACACATAGCATGCCTCTGCTAGTCTCCCGGACCTTTGCATTTAAGCATGACCCTGGTTATACCGGCCTGTGAAGATGACAGCAGCAGCGACAGTGGCAGCGGCAGGGGCCACGGCACCTCAACGCATCTGGGACACCAAACAGTTGTGCAAGCTAATAGAGAAAATGATAAAGGTGGTGGGACCCAAAGGGGAGGCCGGGGGTGGGGGTGAGGTTGCACATAGCATCGAGGCGATGTTCTTGTGACCTTTAAATGCCTGCGACCTTTCTGAGAATTGTGTTTGTTTGGGAGGATGCTTGAGAATACCCCATTATAAACATTTCAATCAGTCACTCACGAGGCGTAGTCGGCGAAGGACAGTTGCGCCGGACGCGTAACCTCTTGTGAAAGCGTTCGCATAGATTGCTCTTGACTACTGTGCACTGGCATCTCGAGTGATTTGTTTGATCCACAGAGCACGGGAAAGGGGGGAGGGGAGGTTTGCAGAGCGGGTGACCACGGGTAGAGCAGCACCATTTCTTTGAGGGTCGCAGTCCACCGCTTCAAACGCCGACCGCCAACAAAAGTGCCCGCAATTTGCTGGAGTTTGCGCGTCAAGACGGGCGATGTTGTTGTGTTCTTATAATAACGTGATACGCTCGTTATTGTAATAAAAAATATCATAAAATACTGTTTGCTATCTGTATTATTGTTGTTGTTGTTGTTAGCAATATTTCCGATACCCCAATGAAGCACTCATATTGCTCATACGAAAGAAATAACGTCAGAATGTATCCCCATATACACAATGGTATAATGACCCCTTTTTAATGCTTATTTGCTTAGCGCTCACTTCTCCAGGAACGCATCTTGAGCACCAAGCAAGATCTGCTGTATTTTAGTACACTACTGTAGTGCTCGACTTGACACGACAGCTTCTTGCTTTTCTCTCTCACTTTATTCCGCTAATACCGATCAACATTCCTCCAGCTAACACCAATCCACATTCCTCCCGCGCGCTCTCCGCTCGCCGCGTTCCGCCAGCCTTGCTCGCTCCGCGTCTCTCCGTCACAGTTCAGCCGCTCTTTATCAGCTTCTCCGCCACACTCCAGCCGCTTCTGCGGACTTCTCCGCTGCTACCCTATACTTCTCCGCTGCTACCCTATACTTCTCCGCTGCTTCGGCTCCAACATCCTTCTCCTCCCAGGCGCGAACTCCCGTCTCCTTCAAAACCCCCTCCCTTTATCCCCAGGGCAATTAATCTCCAATTAATCGGTGGCACCCCCCGCGACGCCCGTCGCCCCCTAGCCCCCGCTGGCACCTGCCACGTTTTCCAGACAACACGGCGCCACTTAGCGACAACTTCCCGGCCAATCAGCGCACTGTGTCCTTAATTGCCCCTGACCTGTCTCTGACCTTCTCACGCCTAACGACAATAAAAACCTCGACCTCGTTTACTCCCACTGTACTCTGCACGCGGGTACACCCACTCCCGTGTGTGGCGCGTAATTCAGGCACTACACTACATTACTAATTCACAGACACTAGTTGGAGGTACTCTCTCTCTTTTATTTCGGTCTTCACAGCCTTAGGGGATAACCTACACACCGGGTCGGGACAGCCAACATGCTGCCAGACCCACAGCTTGAAGAGGGCAAAGATCACGATGACGACGGCACGACGAGTTCCATTCCAGATCGCAGCAGCCCCGACTGTGAGTCAGAGCGCGCCTTTTATCCTGCCCAGCGTGGCCAGGCTCCGCCCTCGGCTCCGCACCCTCCAGATCCCACAGAGGGCTCCGTGCCTCGCCCACAGGTCCAACTGGTGGAACGGGCTGTTACCCCTAATTCCATTGTCTACCAATCTTCCAGCGGCACGCGCTACAGTGACTCATTCAATGTCACTACACATATAAAGTATTCCTGGCTGGCTGGCACGCGGGCAGTGGTGACGCCACCGCTCATATCTGCGCGATTACATCACCCACATCCCACAGCGTTGAGCTGGTTTTGTGCGTGCTGACGTCACGCAAATGTCATGCATTTATGTAGTGGTGTGGGGAAGTATAACTATTTAAAAACTAAACCATTAAAAAATATATTTTACCAGGTAAGGCTATACAGCTCTTTTTCAGAAGCGACCTGGCCACAAAAGACAGCTCAGCGAAGTGACTTATCACGCGGAAATGGATAGCAGCCAAATGATATCATCTAAACGTGTGATGTTCATTCTAAATGTGGAGGGGAAAAAAATTGAAGGACCCCGAGAAAAATCAACGTGACCATGGAGAGATAGAGATAAAACATGAAAACTCAAATATACAGCAGGCATTAGGGTCAGGAACGTACCCACGACCTTCTGTGTACCAGGCGAGGTGGTTAACATCTCGCCACATCTCCACTCTACAGGGCAGAGCACCTTATCATGGGCCTAACTGCTCATTGTAACATTTTGGAAAATAAACCCAGCCCACACCGATGATCAAATCGCGCGAAATGTGCCCAAATCCATCAGATTTCCATCAAATTTCCATCAAATTTCCATCGATGCACTCTATGTTCCCATATCTGCGCTCTCCACCGCCACCGTCACAAGCCCGCGCTCACCAGTTTTGCCAAACATGGTTGTATAAGCCCCACGAAGCGGGGGAGGGGGAAATCAGAAACACGATATGCCACGTTGGCAACCATAAACATAACTCTGGAAATAATTAATCAGAACCGGTGATCGCGATGAGAGTTGCACTTATGGGATCCCATTAACTCTGCACAAGGAAAACCCCGTTGGGAAGACATCACTGCACATTTGGACTTTGCTTACTCCGGCTGCACAAAGTCTGGAGTGCTCCTGCAAGACCCGGGTGCCTTAAACCCAAAGAACACAGACGGCCAAACACCACGGCAAATCATGATGTTGGCCTGCCACACGATGCTCCCCTGCTCAAGGGCACTAATGAACAGGCTCACATCGCTCTCAGCGTGTCACACAATCCGTGATGTGTGGGGTGGGATACGAAGGCCTTTGTCCTGAGTTTTATAAAGAACCTGGAGGGCTCCATTCAACAACGGCTTGCAAATCTTTTTTTAGATTTTACCATCGTACAAAGGACAACAGGTAAATGGAAAAAAAACCGTGGAAGAAAGGCAAAATCGATGCCATTTTGCATCCTGGAAAGCCGCAAGATCTTTACAACTACAGGGCCAATACCCCTCTTGTCTTCCAACTCCAAGCTGACGGGACGTACCGTGGTTGCCAGACTTCACCCCGATTGTCGACCTACCAGCTGCCTGTGTCCCGAACAGCCCGGATCTCGAATCGGCCGTAGCTGTCAAAGAGCAGTTCCATCACCAGCTTCATAGTAGTTGGTTGTAAAGCATCAGCAGAAAGCTAGCACAGGGATAATTTACCCACCTCCTCTGCTGCCCCATGGTTGGCATCATGGCCCGATGCTGAAGATAGCCAAAATCATCAGCTGCTGCTCCACCGTACACCTAAGCAATGCAATGCTCAGCAACTATACTCTCAGTGTACACCTCGCAACTAAAAGCTGCTAAAAGCAGCGAGGTGTACAGCTATAAGACTAAATCTTGATTTGAAGCTTTCATGACTGCAGGAATCCATACTCTTTGGTTATTTCGGCAAAGTCACGTAGGTAGAAAAAAATATATATCACAGTGATATTACTTTTATTTTCATCACAGTGATTTTTATTATTTTTATTTTTTTATTTTTCTACGTACGTGACTTTACCGAAAGAACCAAAGAGTATAAAACGAAAAACGTTTTATTTTACCAAGTAAGGTCCGTTAAGCTACATTAGCTCTTTTTCAGAAACGATCGGAACACAAATAATAGCTCAACGAAGTGGCTTATCACGTGGAAAGAATAGCAGCCAAATACTCTAAACGCACGTTGTTTCTAAATGTGGAGGGAACAATCGGAAGACCCGGAGAAAGATCCATGCAACAACAGGGAGAACATGCAAACTCTAAATATACAGCAGGCATCAGATTCTTGTGCGAACCCACGACTTCCTGTATACCAGGCGAGGTAGTAAGCATCTCGCCACCGTGGCACCCCTTATATATCGTGCCCTTCCGTGTCCATCATTTCGCGTGCTCATATATGCAGGTGACATCGTCCTTATAGCACAGGGCACACACCTCGAACACGTTGCCAATAACAGCTGATCTCATGTGATTGGACGCATATTTCCGTCGCTGGAGACTCCGACCAAATCCCTTGAAAAGCACCACCGGCGCTTTTCGCCTGAACAATCGTGGAGCAGATGCCACCCTCGATGTCGTCCTTCCGTGGTAACCGAGCGCGCTGTGAACCCGCTCCAAGACATCTCGGCAGGGCCGAATTAAGATTGTGTCGGCCCCTGGGCTACAGGTACTGTGAGGCCCCCAGTAATATTTTCAAAAGGAAAACAAAGTTAAAGAAAAAATATAATTTATTTTTACAAGGCCAACAACAAATAAAATTCAGCATAACATCGCACCTCCTGACGTCGACGTTTCCTCAAAGACACCGGTGGATGCATAAACCGCATCAGAACATCAACAGCCCGATGCGCACATTCCCCCCCATTAAAAGGTGAACTTAAAGACAGTCTACAGTGTTACTGTGGCCACGCAAGCCAGACTATGGACCGTATATTTAACCACTTTCGTCTCTGATGGAGCCCTCTCGTGGCTGGCAGGCCTCTACATCGGCATTTAGCTCCTGCACGTGTTGCAATGATAGGCAAGAAGCGTAGGCCCACGACCCCCATACGGCGTGGGGAGATAGATCTTCATCCAGTCGTCCTGCTTACCTGCACCGCCGAAGATATCCGAGTCGACGTGACCAAGCCACCAGAGGGGACAGGAGCCAGGTATTTATACCCCAACAGAACAAAGAAAAAATGTACACCGCACTCTTAGCCAAAATGATTAAAGTTCACATTAGCGATGCAAAATAATCATTAACAGAAGGCCGTGTGGCCAATGAAATGTGGAAAAAAGTCTATTTTATAGCTATTCGTTTTATGTGGAAAGACAAATATATACTAAAAAAAGCAAATCTGCGTGCTGTATTTATTTTTGATGTGATGGACTGCGCAAGAGTGCAGGATTTTATACAAACCACAATACACATCTCATTGGGGCGTGGGAGGCGTTGGATGAAATCACAGGTAACAACAACGACAACCGCCTTTCGCCACAAAGTGGCGGTGACGTCACCACGACGCTTGTGCCAGGTAAACACCCACACGGACACACACACAAGTCCACGAGACATTGTGTTCTTCATTATTCACACATCACGACAAACTTTCTCTTTGACATTTGTTCCCGACAGCTGCAGATCTAGACACTGCTGAATGAAGGCCTCCCCCAAGCCTCTTTTGGTCCTTTGCCGTGTAACAATTCACCTGCACAGTGAGCTGATAACAGCTGATTATGGCTAATAATTTGGAGGTAACGTTACCTCCAAAGTGCCTTTTTATATCCGTGTAACGCCCGCGAATAACAGGAGCTCCGGCGGGTGGACTATTTTGATTGCGTGGACAAGATTGTTATACGGGGACAACTAGGTGATGTAGAGGGGCCGACGGAGATGCAAAAGAGACAAATAGATAGTAAAAGAGTGCCTCTCTTCGCGCTGGTAGATGAACTCCGAAATGGGGCTTGTGCGCTTTTTGCTAAACAAAAAAACCCAACTCATAGTGAAGTCCTGTCGAGGTTTAGTTTGTGAATTCAGGGGAGAAACTCAGAAGACCAGGATAAAGTCTCATTTTTCAGGGATCGCCTACATCACCAAAAATGACAAGAACATAGCAAATAAAATACATAAAATGAAGCAAATATAAATAACGTTGAAAAAACAACGGTGTCACATGAGATATTGGAAATACAGCATTGCACAAACACATTAATAAAAAATACCCTATGGTGTAAGCCGAGTTGGGTAGATCATTTGAAGACTCGTAAAATCATTCATTTACAGAATACATCAATCAGGCCAAATGAGAGAGTGGATTCAGTAAATCCAAATTGGTTTTAAAGGTTGATTTGTATACGATGTCAACATAGTCTATGAGAGGCATAGAGGTGGTAGCTTTCAAATGTGTCCGTGTAGAAGTTCAAAAATAGGATTGGTTTGTATACGGGGAGGTGCCCCCACCCTATCACACGGGGATACAGAGATACGTTGAGATGCAGAGAGACAAACAGAGAGAGTAACCGAGCTGCTGAGAGACAGGCAGAAAAATAAATGGGGGGAAACACAGAAATGCAGAAAGAAACGGAGATATGTAATATAAGAACAAGAAATATACAATTAATGAAATCTCTGTGAATTTGACTTTGCCACAAAAATGTTGCCAATTAGGCGAACTATGTTTAGTTCCGTACCTCGCCATGACATTTCACTTTGCGAACGCGGCACCAGCGCAGTCCTCGCTAGTCTGTAGCGCTGTAAGGCAATCTCGATAGTGGCCGCACCGTCCCACGTCAAACCGCGGTTTTATAGCCCCCTGCGAGGTCGGCTTCCATCCCCGCGGTAAGCCGCCAGTGTTGTTGTTGATGCCGCTACTGCGGCTGCGCGGGGGGACTCCGGTGCGATCGGCCGAGGCGTCCGCCCGAGTAAACGCATCAAAAGAAGCGAAGCCTCCCATGTCCCCTTGACCATTTCGGTCATTTCTGCCGAGGAGACGCGGTCCGACGGCGGACCTCGGCGTTTGTTGATGTGCTCACTGGAGTGGGCGCCACGGCACACTCCAGTGAGCACTACCTCGCCTGGTTATACAGGAGGTCGTGGGTTCGATCCTGACCCTGACGCCTGCTGTTTATTTACAGTTTGCGTGTCTCTCTCTCTCTTCCCATAGAGATATTAACTACCTCGCCTGGTTATACAGGAGGTCGTGGGTTCGATCCTGACCCTGACGCCTGCTGTTTATTTAGAGTTTGCGTGTCTCTCCCTCTCTCCCCATAGAGATGTTAACTACCTCGCCTGGTTATACATGAGGTCGTGGGTTCGATCCTGAGCCTGACGCCTGCTGTTTATTTAGAGTTTGCGTGTCTCTCCCTTTCTCCCCATATAGATGTTAACTACCTCGCCTGGTTATACATGAGGTCGTGGGTTCGATCCTGACCCTGACGCCTGCTGTTTATTTAGAGTTTGCGTGTCTCTCTCTCTCCCCATAGAGATGTTAACTTGCTCGCCTGATATGGTATGCAGGAGGTCGTCTGGTATGTAGGAGGATGTGGGTTAGATCCCGACCCTGACGCCTGCTAAACTCGCCAGATGTTTGGAAAAACAAAACATCCAAGTCAGATTTGGCACGGTACATAAAATACAGAAATTAATATCTGGTACAAAGATGTATTACCAAAGCTATCAACAGAAGGTGTATAAAAGATTAACTGCACGTGTGGTAAATATTATGTTGGGCAAACAGGATGAATGATCAGCACGAGACTAAAAGAACATCAGATAAATATGAAATACTCCCAAAACAACTGTCAGCAGTAGCAGAACACGCGTGCCAACAAGGACACTCAATTGATTTTGATAATGTTGAAGTTGTGTGCAAAACAAGCTACTACTGGCCAAGACTAATTAGAAAAGCTATCGAAATTGAAAGAAATAAAATAATTTCAACCGTTCGGATAGCTACCGACTTAGTGCTGCGTGAAAGCAAATCATCAAATAGAGCATTGTTTAAATGCATGCCTATGTAGAGGTGGAATTGTAAAGATGTATGGGCACGGATGGGTAACAAACACAAGGGGCGTGGTTAGGGCCGTACACAGAGGAGGTGCTCACACCGACGTCCGCACCTGCATCCCCCACGGGCCCCCCCCGGGGGGCCGATTGCTATAAAAGGTGGTGAGCCGGAGGGCTCGAGGTCGAGTGTTAGCTTAAACCAGCGAAGAGTGAAGACCAGCTAGAATAGGCCCCGGAGCTCCCCTGGCTCGCTGTCCAGGGCAAGCCGGTGGCGTGGCCCCGGGAGCCCAGACTGACGTTCTTATAAGAGCCGGTCTGGAAACTCAGGGTGCCGGGATCCCAGCTTGACCAGTGCTGGGATAGGTAGCCTCCTCTAGCTCCGTAGTGGAGGACCCGGGCGTAGGTTAGCGGGGTTAGACATTGGGTCTCCCTGTTAGACGGGTGAAGGGGCCGATACCCCTTCAAGTGCTGTGTATTCCCGTCGCTGTACATAAGTTGGTGTTAATAAATAAGTGTGCCTCCAACTACGTCGTCCGAGCCTCCTGCAACTTACTACACCTATACAGGCCACCACACTTCAATAGGGATTACCGTTGGTACGGCTATTTTAATTACACAATGGACAGGAAGGACAAGATTAATGGGCTCCCATAATGCGCATGCATAAAGTACGTTGATTCAGTCACCTCCCCCCCTTTGCACAAGAGCGCAAAAGCCACAAATCTGTCTGTCGCCTGATGAAGCTAGTTGTAATTACTGGCGAAACGTCGTACTCAGATTGTAAATGTTGTAGCTTGGCTCTCCAACACACCAGTGTGCTGTACTAGTGACGAATTGGCCACGTTCTGTTTACGTGACAAACCTTACTAGTTGGCTGTGTCGGGTGGTGGCGGGTTTTAACGACACATTTATATATTTACATGATCTAACCAAAAAAACAACCCCTCATGTATATTTAGAGTTAGTGTGTCTCTCTCTCCCTGTGGTTGCGTGTATTTTTCTCTGGGTAATCCGGTTTTCCCCTCCACATTTAGAATCAACATCACGTGTTTAGAGTATTCGGCTGCTATGAATTCCCGCATGATGATAATAAACCACTCTGTTAAGCTATTGTTTGTGGCCAGGTCGCTTCGGAAAATATCTCTATTTACCTGGTAACAAAAAACCCAATGTTTATTAGTTGAGTTTAGGGTGCAGAGTAACCTGGACATCTGGGACAAAAGATCTCTCTGCAACTCATCGGATTCCTCCCGTATAAAATAAACATTCCCATTCCTGAACCGTCGCGGACACCACTGGTCGAATGCGTCCAGCTTGCCACACAGGCGCGTGGAGGATGCACACATTGCAGAGGTAGATCCGTGTGGCTGTCGCAATATCGGAGCAGCCACGTGCGTGTCTGTCGAGCCGTTGCGTGCACACGCACGAGCAATCGAGATTCGTGTTTTAAACGCTTGCCTCGCCGCTCCCAGTATGTTGCAGGTTGCGGCTGAGGTAGTGAAATGATTTCACCATTCCATCATGGATGACCGTTATTTGCACCTCATTCAAATCGTGCCGGCTGCTTTTGCGGTCTGCATTTTGGCATTTTGCAATTGCACTGCTCACTTGTCATTTCATAAGTGAACATTTTTCACGCGGGCAAAACGACGCTATGGGGATTACTGTTTTTTTTTGTTCAATGTAAAATATTATAAACTTGCAGATCACCCTTGCGAGTGTGCAAAGTTCACCGTTGACAATCAACAATCGGAAAGAGCAACGGTCACATCTCTTATGACCTTTTGTCCTCTTGTTATATGGGGAGATCTGTTGCCACATGTTGTTACGAAACACTGGATTAACTATTACATTCGTTTATGCTCCTGAGCCCATTATGCTTCGTATTAGTGAACGGTGGCGGTCACCAATTTTGCCCCAGTTTAAGTGAAATCACGAATTAATTTCGTATCAGTGCTTTTCTTAGTAACCTATTGCTATCATGAACGTGCTATGATTTCGTATGTGTGTATGTGTTGAAGTGTAGAACCACGCGGACTCGGAGTTTCTTGTAAGGGCTGTTATTAACACACCAACTCACACCAGTGGTAGGTGCACACTACACTCGGCCCTTCCTTTGGACCTCGGCTCGACTCTTGTCCCTAGCCTCTGCTATTCCCTTGGGCTCTCTCACCCGAGTCGGGACGGGGGTTCAGCCAACACCGCCCGACCGAGTGAGAGCAGCACCCCACTTCTCCCTAGCCGGCTCTCACGGACTCCCTCGAGCCTTCTCCTCGGCTATCTCGACGGCTCTCCCACTCGTCGAACCCGGGACGGGGGTTCAGCCAACTCCGTCCG